AGAAATGTATATACTTATATTTATATGATAAACCATTTTTTGTTATTTGTACACACGTATACTATACATAGAATAACATATAATATAATATAATATATAATTTATTTTTTATATATAATGTCCGATAAATATTGATGAAGCGCTCGTGAACAAGTAGAGCGGACCTGAAAACTGAAGTGAAAAGTCCTGTATCATTTTGCAATTTTTGTAATTGTTTTTTAATTACTCAATTGAATTACCTATTGTTTTTTAATTAACTCAAAGCAGAATGTTTAAAATCGATCCATAAAACAACTTTAAAATATCTGTAAGAATTCTTTAAAAAATATTTTTAAGATATTTCATAAAGAATTTTGAAATATATTTGAAAACTGTTTTCAGGAATTATATGCGGCTAGATGTCAGATATTTGCCAAATATTTGGTATTATATTTTTAAAAATATATAATATTAGTGATAACAAAAATTTTTAGGATATTTACATTACTAAAACTTATCGGACCCTGTGTATATAGAAATTTATAATAATATATACAATAATATATACATATATTTTTTTTAGAAATTTTAATAGAAATTTCGAATTTTTGAAATTTAGAGATTTTGTTGCGAATTTTTGAATAGCCATTAGTAGAGACGAATGTCATGTATCGCCTTCATTCGTAATCATAAAAATCGCAAAATTTACGTTTTGTATGTGTCATTCCAATTTACGAGGTAGAAATTGATTTATTATAAATTTTACAAAGATTTATACTTTTATTCATTATAGCGTTAATTGTATTTGATTATAATAAGCGTTATCACGATCTCCCAAGGGATTTGAACTGAAATTACATTATGGATTAAAATTTCGGCTTGGCTGCGATTATAGTCCAAGCTAGGCTACCCAACTTTTGGTTTTGGTGTCGGTTCTACTTTTTTTTAGTGATAACGGATTGTTACAAGTATTATATTGAAAACCGAAAAGGACCGAAAAAGATCGAAATCCAAACAAACGCGGTATACGATAAAAAAACTAGAACCAAGTGGATTTAGCCTCAGACCATTATCCGGACCGAAATTTTTCAGTTCAGTCTCATTGCAGAGGAGCAATCGAGATCAATGATCTTTAGTGAAACATTTTCGCATTCATTGATAATATACAATCATATATTTCTTTCTCGTTCGATGCTATAAAGGCTGTGTTCCACTCTTAACGCTCGCAACCTTCGCGAGAATTACAATATTTTGTCTTGGTTTAACATTTGATAAACAACAAGGATGAAATGATTCCACGAGCGTTGTGAGCGTTAAATGGAACGCAGCTTTTATAGCATCGAGCTGTATATGTATAAATAAACAAAGCAGTAGTCTCTTCTTGAAAAGTGTAATCGCACATTACAACTATAATTACGTTTATTAGATTCCAAGTTTTCCGGCAAATTATAGACGGACAACTGCTCAAGTATTTAATATAATAAGTATTCGCTCCTTGCACGGCATGTGCGATGCAATGATGATATAGTGACATATATGTGCCTGCAAAACTAATTTAATTAACTATATTTTCTCGCCATTAATGTATATCATTGTATGAGGCAGATGAAAAGCGACTTTAAAAACTGTCGCTTTTCAAACTATCCGAGAAGTCTGAATCGCACCCATATGATTTCGCGTTATTCCGAGTGAAAATTTGCGCAATATGTCATCACTAGCCGACATGGGTGGAGATTGACATTAAACGTTCTATCCTTTCCTAGAACCACAATCTTATTATTATTCCACGTCATCTGCCATTTTTCGTGGGAACGCCGTACGACAAACGGATGGGTGCATGCAGCTTGCCATAAAATTCTCCCCAGAATGCGAAACATTCGCGGTGCATGAAGTATCTTCCCACGAAGTATCTTTAAATAACAATTGAGTACGAGATTAAGTCTAGCGAATAACTACTCTTGGATTGCATATAAATCCGTCATAAGCATTACATTTGATGAGAAAATGAAGAAGCGTATAATTGAACAAAGATGGATCATTCTTTTCAATACCAATGCAGCGCAACGGACAGAAAGGGCGAGAAAAAAGATAATTATACAGTTTAGTCTAAAACAATTAATGCATCTAAAATAATTAATAAAATTAGGCTTATTCGACGCATTTTTGCATAAAACTGGCAGAATCTGGCAGAAAAAAGCTCTGTCCCGCTAATCAAGATATTACTCGTTAAAGTTATTGATGACTATATTCTGCAGTTAGGAAATCTTTCATATTGATTAATGTAACCAATTGCACGTATGCTGTGATCACGTTTGTATACTTAGTGATAATTTTAAGTCAGAAGTAATAATGGAATCGACATCGAATCGACGTCGAAAGCATCAAATCGATGTTGATCGACGTCAAATCAACGTCGATTCTATTATTATTTCTGACTGGGTTAATAAATTATTCTTTGCTTTAATTAATTAAAAACATTGACAAGGCAATTAATTAAAAATTTTCTTATACAATTTAAATTATAACAGCGAATAAAGATTGTGATTCAAAATTTACACTTTTTTCATTCTTCTTATGTAGATTGAAGGTAATTATTAATCTGTTTAGCCTGCACTTCAAAAATTAAAGTTCAAATTAACATTTCTTTAAAATACATATTATATTCTCTGCTTTAATTAATTAAAAATAAATTTTCTTATATAATTTAAATTATAGAAAATAGTTCACTGACGCCGAGTAAACTAAACGCCTTAATTGCATTGATTTTTGAGATGCTAAACTGTATAATTACTAGAAAAAAATTCAAAGAAAAAAGTATTTTATATATCTATATATATATATATTGATTTATTGCATAACGGCAGTTATATTTTTTAATAAGAATCGATACTGTTTTGTTATCCACCATACTGTATCCTATGTACACGTTCACTTCGCATTAGAGGCTGGGGAGGAGAAAAAATGACTCAACACATATCGATATTTAGCTGACCCTCCCTCTAGAGGATTCGCTGGACAGGCTGGATTGTGTCGTGGGTGTATCATGGAGGATTTTGCAGATCATATGATTAAATTAAAATTTCCGAAATGAATTGGCATTGTATGTTGATCCACTGAATCTCTGCTGGAAGGGTTGCCGGTCGTACTTCTCATCATCGGGCCTAGGTGGATTTGCCGCGAGCGCTCTTCTAATGGCTTCTGGGATGGGGGGCGGCGTAGGAATGTGGGCACCCTCAGCATGAAAACCGTTTTCATCAGCTGTATATTGGATGGTAATAGGGGTTCCGTCGGGTGCGTGGTACGAAAAACTGCCTTGGACCACCTATATAAATTGATTAACAAATACATACAATATAATTAGAGTTTGAAAAAAACAAATTTTATATCTTAATTGTAATTAATACCTTGATTATAAAGTTTGTTGGGACATTTTGGATAGCGTTTTTCATAAATTTTAAAAAATTAAGTAATCAAATCTATTTTTAATGATTTACACGGGGCTTTTATTTGCTAGAAGCCGCTGTAGTGATGTCATAGCGAATTCATAAAAACTTCTTCTAGGGTTTGTTCTTATTTATTAGCGTATAGTCGCGAATATCGCTTTCGACGCTTGTCGTTAGCTTTTTGCTGCTCTTTCAGAGCGAATTTTTACGTCGTCAGCGTGAAAAGACGAATTTTTCACATTCGCTTAATCACTAGCGACCACTCGACGCTGCGACTTCAAAATTTTAGTCGCTAGCGAATAAAAAACAAGCGTGTAGAAGAAGCTTTTATCAGCGAATTCGCTGAATTAAGAAGCTTGCTTCAAGCAATAAAATCGAGAGAATTCGCTGGCGAATTAATGACGTCACTAGACGTAGCTTCCAGCGAATAAAAGTCGCTGTAATGCACGCTTTAAGAAGCTAGATTTAACTGCTGCGTCAGTGACCAATTCTTTAATTAACGAATAAAGAATTAAAAAAATAAAATTTTTGCCAGTAAAATAATTAACAAAAAATTATCCAAAATAAATATTAAAAATAATAAATAGCAAATTATAAATATATAATATATTAAAAATAATAATAGCAGAATTGATTAAAACTATTCAAGAAGAAAAGAAGTGCTGATTAAAATTCTAATATTGAGAAATGGGATTTGCATATTACATAATACGCATACGAAATTACTAATTTCTATTAATGATATATCCGTCACATCTGGGATATACAAATCACAGGAATTTAAGTTTCTAATGAACATAGAATTTTTAAAAAATAAGTTTTTTATAAAAATTCTTATATAACTTTTTGTATAAGTATTAATTCTTAATAAGTTTTATTAATAAGTTTCTATTTAAGTACTTCAACCATATTAAGTCTTTATGTGATAGTTTATACTATTATAGTAATAACTCTGAATTTAGTTGTTAATAATTATGTTAACATTGACTAATATTATTAAGTAGATTATAATAAATTGCACAACAATAATAAATATATTTAGTTAACGATACAAATGTAATTAATTCTAAAATAACTAATGGAATTTTAATGAAATTAAACTTTTAATTTAATTTTTGATAAATTTTGATAAAACCTTCATGAAGGAATCAAGTTTCTTTGTGCGTGCGTGCGTGCGTGTGTGTATGTCTGTGTGTGTGTGTGTGTGTGTGTGTGTGTGTGTGTGTGACTTTGCAAATAATTGAATCTTTATGAAGCTAAATTAGATGTGTTAAATATATTCGAAACAATACGGGATGATTTTTTTTTACCTCCGTTTGACCCTGTGGCCCGACTTGAGGATATCCGCTTTCGGAGACTGAAATTCCATTCTCGGTTTCATAACTGAAAGTGTAAGATCCATCGGGCGATGTGTCCTTATGCTGACTTCGAATACCTATGAACGGCTTTGCAGGAGACCTACAGTAAAAAATCGAAACTATTTCGCATAGCCTTGAGTTCTACGGTTTCATTTTGATAATACAAAAGCTACTTTAGTTTTGTATCTATTACTTGTGCTTATTATACCAATATCAAACAGTAATTAATCCAGGAAACAGTAATAAAAAATAGTATTAAAGGTTTTTATTTTTAAATAATAATTTTTAACGATATTTTAATAAGAAATAGAGAATTTGCAAAATTTACTATTTGCACAATTATTTATTTCAGATTCATCAATTCTTTTGTGATTAACGAAACATGTATGTTTCATCATAATTTTATAATTTTAAAATTATTTTTATACATATATGAACACACATATTTTAAAAGGATTTAGACTTCAAAAAGCAGATTGTTATATACGGATTATACAGATTTCATACGTGTATTGCGTATTGTATTGTGGTTGCGGTTGTGGCTGCGGTTGATAGGGCCTCGGCGTTGCTCTATATGCATTTTGACTGGGAAAGCCGCGGTACGATCCAAATTGTCCAAAAACGCAGCCAAAGATTGCAAAGGCCAAAATCTGCAATCATGATGTTTTTATCTGACACATTACACACAAAAATATTAAAAAATGTTTTATATTTATTATTTACATCTAAAATAATATTTATAAAATAATAAGCATTATTTTATCAAAAAATTAAATATTTCATACTATTTTATAGGGTAACTGTCCCTATTAGTGTGCCTTTAAACCAATTTGTTTAATATGTTGAATAATTATTAAATATTTTCTATCTGTTTGAAATCAATATTTTAACTATTTATTTTTTTTAATAATATTTCTTTAATCTAAAAATATTAATATTTTATAATGTTTTTAATAAAAAGTTTTAAATAAAAAGCACGTTTTTGTCCCTATGTTAGTGAATCCTCCAAGCAATAATGGCCTTATTAATATGCTTTCAATTTGTGTGCCTATTCGTATTTATTATAAATTCATTGAAAATATAGTTACTAAAATAGGTAATAAATGTAAGCTAATTGTTTAAGTTAATATTACATAAATCATTATTTTAATTATACTTATTTTAATATACACTCACGATAATATAATACGACGTTCTTAGTTCCAATATAGGGTACATTAATAGGAACAAGCTTAAAATCTTGCGCACAAGCACACTAATAGGGACAGACACAGTAATAGGGACAGTTACCTTAAATATAAAAATATATCTTTCATACACACATATTAATAAGTTTGTTAAGTCACAAATTAAAATATACCGACCATAGTCGTTGTGGTTCTAATTTTTTAATTCGACATATTTATATACAGAAACTCGTGCATTCGCGGTATATTTTTTTTATCATTATTAAAAATTTCAAGGTATCAAACATTTCTCAATATTTGTTCAACCCGTTATTTAAAGGCTAAATAGAAATTCCACGCGTTCTACGTCCTCCCATTTGAATTACCGTCAATTGCAGGATGTTTTGTTATTGGAGTACGATCCTCGTGTAACACAATCGGAATCGCGATTTAGCAGAGAAAAGATGTACTTTTCATCCATCAATACGTCCACCGATTATCGCACGTATAAATATAAAAAAAAATAAACTAAAAACACGAAGAAAACACAAGAAGCGAACGCGATCGCGAGAGGAAAACGATCGATATTCCAAAAGATCGCTAGTGGTCTCGACGAGACATCACTCACTAGATACTGCATGATGACGACGACGACGATTGTTGGCAGTTTGTTTACGGCTTTGTCGATTTGAACGAGATCGAATCTGTGATCCCGTGCCGCAAGCACCACCGTCATTTATATGAAGACACCCAAGAGGCTCTTCCCTTCCCATTCTCCCGATTTCTGCGTAGAATTGCTCGTTCGCTCGTTCGCTCGTGCTCGAGAGAGGAGCATTCTCCTCCATCGAAGATCCCTCGTCGCCCTGCTTACATCCTCGCCCCACCTCGCAACTCCAAATGTATGACCTACGTAGCGCATCGTCTTCATTGCAATCCAACAGCCAGCAAACTGCTCGTAATCGAACACTGCTCGTTGTCGACGTGCCACCGCCAATCGCGGTTCGCATGACGAATAAATTCATCGGTCAACCAATTAATTATTAGCATGCATATGTATGTATTCGTGAATGCCCACACCAGCTACTGTTTTCGCTTAATAGAGTCATTTGTTAACGTAAGTATCATCATTGTCGTTGCAAGAGATGTGGGTGTCATTGTATGTAATATGATAGTATTGATAAATATGTGTAGTTTCGTACTGTTATAATTGAAAAGTTCGTACTTTATTCTTGATGAGTAAAGTACGAACCCTCATTTACCAGCGATAAATATTTAAATGTTTTGTTAAACAAGTAATATTTTTATATCCGGACCTTTGAATATAACTCCTAGTAACTTTCCCTTAACAAAAATGTCATATATGCAAGTGGTACTCCAATAAATTAGGCGTGGTGATTATATTGTATCTATTTTTGTTAAAAGAGGTTATATAGAGACGATCAAATTCACGTTAAATTTTTCGTTACCAATCGTGCGAAAATATTATGTAAGGCCTGTAAATAATGCACAGAACATTCGCTTTTGTAAACATAAACGGAATATAAGCGGGAGCAGCGTTTTCTCCCGATCATATCGAGTCCCAATAAATTTAAATGTTATGCCGTTTATAATATTCATAACATTGTGCGCATTTATATGCATATCGCATATATGATGTGTGTAAATCCCACGCGGCCGCGGACAACTGTAGCTACGATAAGTCTCGATTCGAGACTACTAAATGGGCGCGACGTAATTGGCAGCGATGATTTCATTTTTGAAGTATCTGTCATGTAGCTTTCGCGAAATCCTAAATATGTAATTATATTATCATGTCATGTGCATTACCATCCGTTAATTCCAAAACAATTACATAATAAATGTATCCACCTGTCAATTCGTGCATACGTTTATGATTCGCCATCGGTGTCTGCATATACATTCCGCCGCATGTGGCAATACAGCTGCAAAATGGACAAATCAGAAACAATGCACCATAGGATACTCATTCATGCACCTGATTTCGTGTATTGGAAGCGTTATGTAATGTTGGTTATACACCGATATGCCTCGCGAGAAATCGATGCGCTCAGATTTTGCTTGCAACCTTGAGAATTCATTGTTTTTACATATAAATTCTTTCATTCAAGAGAAAGAAACAATAGAGCACTTTGCATGGACAATCAGCTGTTATGAATACACACACTGTAATAATAACTTCATTAAAAAATACTTATGTGGAGAAGTATAAATTACCAATAAATAGCTCTGTATCAAAAAATATTGATATCCGTACATAAAAAATTAAATAATGCACATTTATTAATTATTTTAGTTTCCTTAATTACACATTAATTGATAAATTTATTATGCACTATGTATATGCAGAATATAATTTCTTTTAACATTCGGGCTCTCTATCATCATTACAAATCTTTTTTTTTTCACGCGAGCCTCTCATTTTTTCTATATTCCGTCGAAATTCCAGCGCGTAATTCCTCACGAGATGTGATCACTTCCAGAACAGGAACGCTTCCATCCATGCAGAGATTGCGGTGTACGCATGCATAATCGTTCGCGAAGTTGTAATATCCTCTAGGGACTGCAATCCGCGATTCGACTCGATGCACACGCGATTCGCCAGCAAGCGAATCGATGCAGACACAAGTCAAATCGCTGTGCTGAAGATGATGCGATATGTAATATAGACGCCGATTTATCCGCGATAATGTGCAATATCAGCTGTGATGCTCACGGAAAATAGCTATTTATCTTTTTCCATAGATGATTATCATTTGGCCAATCGATTGAAATTATTTTTATATAAGGAGCATATACAAATTTAATATAAATTAATATA